ACACACACACACACACCCTTCCTCCAGGTGCCACGTGCACACACACACACACACACACACACACCCTTCCTCCAGGTGCCACGTGCACACACACACACACACACACCCTTCCTCCAGGCGCCGCGCACACACACACACACTTACACACTTGCTCCAGGCGCCGTGCACACACACACACACTTACACACTTGCTCCAGGCGCCGCGCACACACACACAGACACAGACTTCCCCCTTGGCGCCACACGCACACATACACCCTTCGCGCCGCGCGCCTGCACCCTTCCCGCTACGCGCAGTGGCGATAGAGAGGGAGACAGTGCAGGAGAGCGCGCGCGCGCACGAGAGACGAAGTGACACCAGCAGGAAAATGGGGAGTACTGACCACGATACACATACAGTAAGGGGAGGGAAATTCAGCTCAAGCTTCCTCGTCCCAGTGGACGGAGACTGACAGCAGTTCCCCCAGCTTACCTTCGAGTCTCGGAAGTACATCTCATACTGCTGGATCATCTGGCGGCTGGCCAGGCTGCCGTGGTACACAATGGCATTCATGTCCGTCCACGTGTTGAACTCCCTCTCCCAGTTGGTAATGGTGGAGAGCGGAGCAATCACCAGGAACGGCCCGTGGATGTCGGCCGAGTAGATCTCCTCCAGGAAGGTGATGGATTGGATGGTCTTGCCGAGGCCCATCTCGTCGGCCAGGATGCAGTTCTGCCTGTGGGGGTGGGGGGTTTAAGAGGGAGAGGGTGCAAGACGGACATGAGACATGAGACAGGGCAGGCACCGCGGGGATGTGGGCACTGACCGAGGACACCGCACTCTGCAGCGAAGGCGGAGAGGCCACCCCACCTCCCCAGGAGAGACAGAGTGACTTTCCCAGATCGGTCAGGGAGCCTAGAGACCAGAGAGGCCAGGGATGTTCGGCTTACAGCATGGGAGTACGAGAGACTACAGCAGCAGGCACCAGAGGCAAGTTCAGAAAGTGGCATCGCAGAGCGCAACTTGATCATTTTGATGAAAAAAATTCCCTCACAGGGATGTGGGTGTCACTGACTGGACCCAGCATTTAATCGCACCCCCCCACCTTAAGAAGGTGGGG